AAACATATTTCATCCAGTTTTTCTCAGTCTTACCCCCACCCCAATGCCAGCCTCATTCTACTATATCTTTCTTTAAGCTAGCAATTCTGTTTAGCAACAAAATCAAACAATTAAAATCTTCCCACTAAATGCAGAAAAGAAATTATCATTTTTGCTTACTGATCCCTTTTAGACAATCTAAAGTAAATTCTAATTTAATCAGAGATTTAGTATAAGGGAATGAGAGTTACTCTAGCTTTGCAGGAATAAGAAAAGGTGACAGCACACATGTCTACAAAACATGTACATATATGTAGATGGAGATAATACACACAAACACACACTGGTTAAATAGGAGATGGAGCTAATAATGAACTTAGTAGGTTTTATTAACTAGATTTATTTTTTTTAACATAAAGATTCTATATGAAGTTCTAATTTAAACATACGGTTTTCAATGTTATGCCTCTATTTCAATCCCATCATCCTACATATTACTTCAGCTAAAACTTTTTGTTCTTTTGGGAGAAATAAATGAGGAAGAATAAAAGAAAATGATCATTTTTTAATTCTTTAATTAACAAATAGTTCAACTGAAAAAGTGCATCAACTATAAATTTCCTTTAACTTATTGTTCTATTCTTTAAAATATACTAATTTGTTAGCTCTGGTGGCCTCGTGGCAAGAAGCTGTGCTGCAATCCCAAAGACACCCGGTTCGAGTCCACTAACTGCTCCATAGGAGAAGGATGGGCAATCTCCTCCCATGCAATTAACCTGCCTCTGAAAACCCACCTGGGAATCAGCTATGGGTCAGTTCCAACTCAATACTACACCACCACAACTGCTAATTTTGGCTAGGGTAACATTTAAATCTGTCATTTAAAAAGATTTAAAAGGCAGTGGTATCACACATGTTCTGTGGGAAGTGAAAATAAAAATCCATCTTTCTCTCAACTCTTAGATCATCTCTGGGCTTTGACAAAAGAACATCTACAAAGGTATGATGTGAAAAAGCACAGAAGAATTAGGGAACTCCAGGTATAGAGAGGCACACAGTACATAGAAAAGACTTAGTAACTAGAGACAAACTGAGCTATTTAGAAGATCTTGCATGTAATGATAAAGAACTGAGAGTCTATATAAAATTAAGGTCTCTGAGGATTAACTGGGTAGACCCAGTTTCCAGTATCATGCTTATGAGGTCCTTTTACTACCATAGCGATAGTAATAAGGAAAGGGTTACATGATACAAGATATTTCTTTGATATAAACAACAAAATTTAGTGGCTGACTTGATGTGAGGGCCGATGAAAAGTTAAAGAGGCTGGGTTCCTAGTCTGGGAAATTACATATAATTAATTACAATAGTAACTCTGCTTTAACGAGATTTCACAGCTGGGACTAAGGCATGGAAAGCTACAGAGCCCTTGAAAGAACATTTCAGAAAGACAGAACAGCACTTAGAAAGGTACCAAAGGTAGTGAACAGCACGCAGTGAGTTTGGTAGTAGTAAGAAATGAAGCTAGGAGGGTCAGATTGTGATATATATGCTTATGTCACATTGAAGATTATATATTTAAGCTGCAAATAATGGGAAGACAGCTTAACAGTTTAGGCCTTTGTATGCTAGTTATAGTTGAGGACTTTAAACTGGTCAATTTTTTAAAAAAACACCGGTTTATGAAATCGTGGAGAGAGCTTGCGCGAGAGTAACTACTTCCTTTTGCGGGTCGTGGCGAGTGCAGAGAGATCGTTATGAAGGCTTCGGGAACACGTGAGTACAAAGTGGTGAGGCGCTGCCTACCCACCCCCAAGTGTCGGACTCCACCACTTTACCGCATGCGCATCTTCGCCCCCAACCATGTTGTCGCCAAGTCCCGCTTCTGGTACTTTGTGTCATAGCTGAAGAAGTTGTTTTCTGGGGAAATTGTATACTGTGGACAGGTGTTCAGAAGACCCCCCTGCGTGTGAAGAACTTTGGCATCTGGCTGCGCTACGACTCCCGCAGTGGGACCCACAACATGTACCAGGAATACCGGGACCTGACCATCGCAGGAGCTGTCACCCAGTGCTACCGCGACATGGGCGCTCGGCATCGTGCCAGGGCCCACTCTATCCAGATCATGAAGGTGGAGGAGATCGCAGCCAGCAAGTGCCGCCGACCTGTAGTCAAGCAGTTCCATGACTCCAAGATCAAGTTCCCACTGCCCCACCGGGTCCTACGTTGCCAGCACAAGCCAAGGTTCACCACCAAGCGCCACAACACCTTCTTCTAGGCCCAGCCCCTCTGCCTCATCCCAGTTTGCACAATAAAACGCCTTGGGGATTGAAACACCCCCCCCCCCAAAAAAACCCTAAAACTGTTTATGTCATTGTTATGTATCATCAAGTTACAATCAACTCAGAGATAACCTTTCAGTGGGATTTCAGAGGCTGGAAACTGCAAGGGAGGAGACTGTCCTACAATTTTTCTCTTTCAGGGCTGATAATAGATTTGAACTGCTTACCTGTGGGTTGGCAGTGCAAATCCTTACCTACTAGGCCACCAGAGCTCCCTTGTTTATAAGGGATAGAAATTTAATGGACATTCCAGCAAAGAGAGGTTGGTAGGTAAAAGGAAAATAATTTACAAAGTTCCTGCAATCTTCTAAGTGAGGATAATGTTAAGGACTAAGGCCCCAGGAGAAGCTAAAGAATTTGGAGAGTTCTCAGGGACAATGGTCACAATCTGGTAACTCAGTGTCCATACTGTTGGTGGTGTGTGCTGTTGGGTTGGAACTGATTCCCAGCTGACCCTCCAGCAGGTTTTGAGAGGCAGTATGTTGCATGGGAGGAGATGGCCATCTTTCTTCCAAGAAGTAGTTGGTGAATTTGAACAGCGCGCCGTTGGGATTGTGGAACAACTTCCTACCACTAGACCATCAGAGTTCCTCAGTGTGTCCATGTTAGGGGTTGTTATTAGTGAACAAACATTTCTTATTTGAATAGATTTTTTAAAAAGAGTAAAATCAAACCTATTGCCATTGAGTTTTTTCTTCCAGCAACCCTATAGGACTGGATATAACTTTCCCAAGTTCCCAAGGCTATCTTCTTTAGAACTGTCACATCTTTCTCCTGCAGAGCAGCTGAGCTGATGAGTTTGAATAACACATCTTTGAGTTACATGCAGCTAATTTTAACCTCAGCACCACCACGGCTCCTTCTCCAACCCCTCAGAGGAATGAGAATAAAGAACTCTTCATACGTAAAGTTTGAGGATTCTATGATCCTTAAACAAGATCCTATTTAGGAACAAGGCATTCACCCCAAAATTATTTCCTAACTGCTGAGAGTCGGTCCTTCTTATCTGAAGGGTCTGAATGGTTTATCTAATCTAGACCTCTCAGGGTTGCTCTGAAGGTCATCTCAAATCTAGACCTCTAAGGGTGGTTCTGAAGGTCATCTCAAACTGGACCTCTAAGGAGTTAGCTGAGGTCACTCTTGTGAATGCAGCTCAGCTCAATGTCCCAATTTTGTCCAGTTCTGCTCATGCACTAATAGGTATTATTTCTGGTAATTCTCACCAATAAGCCTCTTGCACACAAATCTCAGTTTACTTCTTATGGAGCTCAAACTATGACAAGGTATCAGAAAGACAGATAATTAAGAGGTAACTTTATGTGATTACGGGGGCTCAGAAGAGATGATGATATTTTAAGTAAGAATAACTGACGAGGAACTGGAACATGGAAGACTGCTGACACCATAGATACAGAGCAGGGCACATTATCAGAGACCAAAGAACAACAGAAAGTCAAATCAAGAGTGAATTCCTAGAAACTGGATTTGTGTGTGTATGTGTGTGTGTGTGTGTACACCGTAAAATCGGATCTGACTGGTACAGGAGGAGATTGCTCCTCCTCCAGCAGAGCATCTGGTGGATTTGAACCGCGCACCTCTGGGACTGCAGTGCAGGTTCTTGCCACTAGGCCACCAGAGCTCCCTGAAACTGGATGTTTAAAGGATGCGTAGAACAGAGAAATATAGAGAAGAGTGAAAAGGCAATACAAAGATTGTAATAAAAGTCATAAAACAGAATATAGGGTGGCTGAATGAAGTAAAAACTTAAACTGTAGACTCTCACTCAAATCAAGTAAAAACTTAAAAGAGGTGTTTTAAAAACAAGGTAGTCACAATATGTGAAATGTGAGAGCTCAATTACAAAGAAAAATGACAAGAAGTCAATACATAACCACCACATAATGAGTACAGAACCAACAAGAGAGAATGAGAAAATATTACGTATCAACTACTGGTGAGGAGTGTGGTCACGTGAAAAGGACAGGCTGATAGCTTGATAAATTGTCATAATTAAGGAATACTTTTTACCTTCTTAGGAGAGGGGAAACTTGAATATGTTAAGTGGCTAAGTAAGGGAGAAGGAGAGGAAAACAGAAAAGGGGAAAAAAACGCATTAATAGTAGTGTTTTAAGAGAGGAAGGTAATTGGCTCTAATAAAAAACAACATACTTCCTTTAAGACAAAAAGAAAAAGCAAATACTGTAGTCCAATAAGGCACCTATCACTAATCTGAACCTTGTCCTACCCTGTGCCATACTCATTGTTTCTGACATACTTGAGTTCATTGCTGCTATCACCATGTTAATCCATCTCATTGGGGTTTTCGTCTCTTTCACTGACTCTCCACGCTTCCAAGCATGTCCTTTCCAAGGGATAGTCTCTCCTAGCAACTTACCCAAAATATGAGAGACCTGTAATTAGCTAGTCTGAACTAAGCACATTATATTTTGACAAATCAATAATATAAAAAAGGAATATAAGATACCTTAATTATTTGTAAGGATTTGATGCTTGAAATATTTTTTTTTTATTTTGGGGTAACTGAAACATATCACTAAAATAAATTTTACCTGCTTAACTTAAAAAATATTACTAGAAATCATAAAGCTATGTATCCGGCTTATATAAAATTTCTACTGGGTAGTATTGTAGACTATATCAAATGATGATGTTACTTACTGTGGGAATACAAATCTTGCTTAAGGGATTGCCATCCAGGAGATAAGATCCATTAAATGTCACATATTCATCGTAATACTGAGGTGCTTGTGGAATAACACTACACAATAATTTACGCTTTTCTTCAATTTTTTTCCTTATGTGTAAGTACTCAAAATATGGATTTGCTCGTTCTGAACTATATGGCTGAATCTCATCTAGTTTCAGAGAATCTACGAGGGCTGCCAGAGATTGCTGAGTTTTTTCTTTTGCTTGCAGTAAAAACGGACTTGCTTGAACAGGCTGAGGTACACGAGACACTTTCCTTTTCCGTGGATGGTGAATCTGAGGATCATCTTCTTCGGTGAGTCTTATTCTTCCTCTGGGAGACAAAGACTCATTGTCTTTTTCTGACAACAGTGTGCAGCCAGCGAGGAACTGTTTGCTTTGGGTTGCCACTGTATTTGTTCTGTTTCTAGTCATCCTTTGAGGAATCTGGTTTTCAGTTTTATCATCTTCCGCATTTTCTTCTATTTCTTCTTTAACAAATTGACCATATTTATGGATTTCTGGTGAAACTGACTGTTGTGAATGATTGTCAAGATTTGATAAGATGCTTTGTTCAGATTCTTCATCTTCGATGGAAAGCAAACACTGTTCACTTTCAGTACAATGCTTTGGATTATCAGGTTCATGAAGGCTTTCTTTTGGCATCCTTGCATCCATTTTGCATACATCAGAGTCAAAATTATTATTCAAGTGAGTTAAAATGAAATTCTCCAGTTTGTTTCCTTTTTCAGGTGAAATAACCGGTATGCCACTTGTGCTGTTTTCAACCTCAAGGATACTGGAAGACTTTTTAACTGGTTTACTGCATGCATAATACATATTCAGTTTGGAAGACTCATCATTTTCATTAAAGTCCTTTTCTGTTGGTAACATCAGTAAAGTATTACTCTTTTCAAAAGCTGGTGATATTTCTTGAATGGTGGTTTCAGAGTATACTGAGACAAAGGTATCTGTCACTGGTATATCAGCTGGGACATAAGTATTTTCCATATTTTTGATTGATTTGTTTTGAGTATCGACAACAGAACTGGTAATTTGAACTGAATTTTTCTGTTGTGAAGTATCTGATTCTTGATTGGCAACATACGACAAAGATGCGTGTTTACAAATAAAATTAACCTCTGTAGGGGATTGGCTGAAGAAAGAGTCAGTTGGTTGTGAAAGTATAAAGGATGCTGGATTTGGAACACCAGAATTTCCTGGCAGTTCACTTTGGTGCAAGGATGCAAAGTTTGTATTCTGTTCTTTCAAAATTTTGTTTTCAGAATTATAGAAATCCTGAGAGGAGGACTCTTGATCAGGTGTAGTAGAATTTGGGCAGGTAAAGTCACTGGTGCCTAATGACTCCAGCCTGTCAGCAGATACCTCACATGATTTATTCTGGATCACACCAATCTGATTAGATGGCTCTATAAGCACAAGACTTTCTCTTAAAGTGCTTATTGAAGAAGTGCTTTTGATAACCTTTGTATCAGCTGAAAGATATTTGCTATTTATAGCTCTAGTTGGAGAGACTGCAAAACTGGAATGTATGCTAGCTGTATTTGAAAGGCCTCTTTCAGGCACATTTGAAGTCATGTCAGGTTTGGGAGAAGGACAAGTATCTCTTGGCAAAACTAATAAAGTATCTTGAGTACTTTCTTCTGATACTGTTTGGAATTGCTTTGCATATTCACAAATGATAGAAGGGGCACTAGACCTATGAACTTCTACAGCAAGTCTACTCTCATTTATGATTACTCTAATGTCTTCTCCTACAGAAGATGATCTGAGATGGGACACTGGAAATCTGTTTGTGTATGCTGGTTTAAACCGATCTGGCAATTCGGGCAGGCTATCTAACTCCCTTTCATGAAGGGCTGGAGATTTGACAATTGGCACAAAAGGTGACTGGGAAAATGACATTTGGGAATCTGAACCCTCTAACATAAAGTCAGAATCATACTCAACCACAGGTCTTGGGGTTGTCACTGTAGTATGGCAAGAATCTTCTGAGCTAGCAACTGAAATCATAGATACAGATCTAGAGCTAAGAACTGGCTTCTCACTTTCTGATCTAGGAGACCTGTTTAAATTAGTATCTGAAACAAAGAAAGATTTCCCTAAATTCATGACATTTCTTGTGTCGAGAGATTGTGATCGGTTACTTATACCATCTTTAGATGGTTTCTCTTTGGAATAAGCATCAGTGAGCTCTGAACTCTTTGACCTACTAAGTTCTTTATTTTTGGATTCAACTAGGGCATGCTTTGTTTTTTCTTTAAGTTCTAAGAAGTTACGATTTCTCAACCGTTCCTTCTCTTTTTGTTTAATTTTTTCCTTATGTTTTTTGTGCCACTGTTCTATTTCTAAATCTTTAAGGCTTAGCATTCTTTCAAAACTTGTTTGCATTAAATCATCATTGACTAACCTTTTTTCTTTAGGTCGAGAATCTTTTGACGCTGATAATGACTTAGGTTTTGACTTAGATGCTTCAGATTTTAGCCTGAGTAAACTATTTAGCTGAGTTTTATCCTTATGTTTGTCTCGTTCTTTGTATCTGTCTATATCTTTATCCTTTTTATCTTTTTCTTTTCCATCTGGAGTTTTCAAAGGTTCGTCTTTCGCTTTTTCTTTAAGGGATAAGGATTTTTCATGTTGTGCTTTACTGCTATCTGCTATACTAGACTTTTTATCTTCCTGTGAATGTTTAGAGTTAGTGCTATTTGTACTTTCTTTATCTCTAGATTTTTCTCTTTTATCTACCTCCCTTTCTTTTTCTTTATTCTTGCCTTTTTCTGATTTAATATATTCACTATTATCTGACTGTTTATTTTTCTTCTCCATCAAGTGTTTTTCTCTCTTTTCAACATGATGCCTCTCTTTTTCAGGTTTTTCTTTGTCATGTTTTCTATCCATCTTTTCTCTACTTTTCCTTCTGTCATCGGTTTTTTTAAAGGTACTAATATTTTTAATCTTCTCACCTTCTCGATGCCATTTCTCTGTGTGATGTGCATACATCTTGTCTTTTACTTTATCTGTACATTCACTGAGATCTAGTTTGTCTTTCTCTGACTTATCATGTTTTATCTTTTTCTCTTTTTCAGAATTTTTTCTATCAGTCTTTTCAAAGTCCTTTTCTTTACTTTGAAATTTTTTCTCAGATTTTTCTTTACCTTCTTTTATATGCTTCTCTTGTTTTTCTATGTCTATTTCCTTCTCTATTAAATGTAACTTTATAGATTCCTCTGTGACACCTATATCCAAAGAACTAAATTCCATTTCTTTATCTGTGGAGAAAGTCTCTCTCTCATCTTTGAAATCTTTTATTTTTTCTTCCCTAAAATATTTCTCACTTTCTTTTTTGACCTTTTCCCGCTCTTCTTTCAAGTTTCTGTCTTTTGAGATATGCTTTTCCTTGTTAGATCTATCATCTTTTATGCTTTTTTCCAGCTTTAATTTTTCCCCTAGATTTAGTGTTTCATGTTCCATACTTAAAAAGAAATCCTCAGTTTCATCACTTTTAAAAAAATTCTCTTTCCAAAATTCTCTATCAAATTCCACATTTCTCTGCAGCTCTTTACCATCTTTATGTTTGTATTTTTCCTTTTCACCTTCAGTTTCTTTTTTATGCTTTTCTTTATGTTTCAGTTTATGTTTTTTTAGTGTTTTACCTTCTTTATCCAATTTTTTCAGTGTGCAGCCTGAATTTCCAATTGTTGGACTATGATCTTCTCCTTTTATCTTGGCATTTGACTTTTCAAATTCTAAGTGGAAATCCTTCTGATGCTTGTTTGTTTCCTTATGTTTACAAGATTTGACACTTGATGTCTCTGGCAGGAATTCAGATTCTGCATTGTCATACCGAGCATGATCAGCCTGGAACGACATTTCAGAACTTCCTGGTGATAAACATGTTTTGGTATGCTCTTGTTTTAGTGGTGTAGACTGCTTTTCACTTAGTCCATAAGCATGTTTGGTAGATTTACCAGTGGAAATAGGAAATAAATGTAATGAAGTATCATCTTTTGGGCTAAATGACTTCTTAAAGTTCCCTTTGTCTCTGGTCTTCTCTGAAATATCCAATGCTGTGCTAGCTGTTGAGTTTGTCACTTTGGTGTTTTCTTTTCCTTCTTTTTCCTGCTTCAACTCTTGGTTCTCTTTATTTTTGTCCTGGTTCTTTAATTTTCTTTTGACTTTGCCTTTCTGTTTGTGTTCATTTGATGCCATATATTCCTTTCTGTTTTGCATGTCAGAACTTGACGTTTCCGGGGCAGAGTACGGAGAAGAAACTATTTTATTCTGAAGAACTTCTTCATCTGAACTTTCAGAACTTGAATACAAAACTCTAGATGATTTTTGTTTTTTACTTTTAAATGATTTAGGATAGAAATTTTTTTCCTGTTTTGTAAATAAATTGTTCTTTTCTATTTCAGAGTCATTCTCTTTCCGTAGCTCTTTCCTAAGAATATGCTTATCATCAATCATTTTATTTATTTCTTCTTCATCATCATCATCATCTTTGAACTCATACTCATCAAAAGCAGATGGAAGAGTTGCTTTATTGGGAATTATCTGTTTACTTTCACAGATTAGAGAGTCTTTCTCAGTCTCAGAATCAATATTTTCATCAACACTGGAAGGATTTACAGATCGAGCCTCTTCAGAATCTACGGTAAGAAAAGAAAATCTGTTGTTGGTCAAAAGACAATTGTCAGAAAAATAAAGAGGAGAGAAGAATATAGTACGTACAGTAAATACTTCTAACAATTCAGAAAAAGGATTCTGCTACTATATTGTGAAATAGCTTTAGAGAATAAGAAAGGACAAGATCCTTTAGCTATCTTCAAGAGAGTACTGAATTCACTACCAGAAACATGCACACAAAACATATTTAGAGCACTTTCTTTTTTTTTTATTATTATTTTTTTGTGTGTGCGTGTACTGTCAAATCAGATCTGACTGGTACAGGAGGAGATTGTCCCTCCTTCCCCGGCAGAGCATCTGGTGGGTTCGAACCGTGTGCCTCTGGGATTGTAGTTGCAGTTCCTTGCCACTAGGCCACCAGAGCTCCCCAGCACTTTCATAACTACGTAGTTGGGCTTTAGGGGAAATATTAGATACCAAATGCTACATCAAACATGCATGTAAATACATTTTTATGGAGAAAATATTTAACTTAAATCAGGTTCTTTAACTGCAATAAGATTAAGAACTTAAAGGCCTTAATAAATGAACGTGATTGTTTTATATTTAAAAAAAAATTTACTAGTCCAACTGTAAAATCATGTGGTTCTTACAAAGAAAAGTAACTTAAATAAGAGTAAATGGCTTTAATTACACAAGAAAAAGGACTTCCTGTTAAGAGCAACATAAGAAAAATTAAGTGAAATATAGATTCCACTTACATAGTCAAGACTGTAGCAATAAATGGAATAGACAATGTAATTTGGGGGGAAAAAATCTTACTCTATTTCTTTGTTTTCTTTCCTATAATTTAGATTTAATAAAAAGAAAAAAATTACATACTTTAGTACAATATGGGGAATAATGACCCCAACTGTTAAGTAGTTTTGAGCACATAAAAATTTAATGAAATTGCATCCAATGTCCTATAGAAACATAGCCAAAGTACTGCTATACCCAATTTCTCTATCTTTTCTGACAGAAAATTATTTTCTTCCCAGGCTGGCATCTTTTCCTAGCTTAACTTCTGTAAACCTATATACATACTCTACTGAAAATGTCAACAATTTCATCTTACTTGGATCCACAATTAATACCCTTGGTACCAACAGTCAGGAAATAAGGAGATACATTGCACTTGGAAAGTCTGCAGTTAGGGACTTCTCCAAATTACTGAGGAATGATGTCAGTTTGAGGACTAAAGTGCATCTGATTCAGGCCATGGTCTTTCTGATTACTTGCTATGCATCTGAAAACGGGACAATGAATAGGAATGACTGAAGAAGAATGGACGCCTTTGAACTATGGTACTGAAGAAGAGCACTGAACACCCCATGGATGACCAAAAGAACAAACAAACATGTCTTGGAGAGGGTGCAGAGTGCTATACTTTGGGCATGTTGCCAGGAGGGGTTATTCCTTGGTAAAGGACATAATGCTTGGAAGGGTGGTGGGCTGGAGAAGGAGAGGAAGACTCTCAACCATGATGACGGTCACAATGGGCTCTAGTGTGTCAGAAAGCAGGATGACATAGGACAGGTTCAGATCTGTAGTTCACAGGGTCACTATGATTTTGTATTTGATTCAACAGCACCTAACAACAACAACAACAATTGTAAAGAATCAGGGCTCTAAATTAAAGGAAAATAATAGCTTACAAAGACAATAATTAAACACTTACTTTCTATATACTTAATACTGTGGTTTTATGTACTTTTGAGTTCCCTCATAGCTGACACTCCAGAAAGTTTTCAGAGGCAATAAACTGGATTGGAAGCAGAAGTGGCATCCACTTCCTAAACATCATGCCTCTGGAAACTATGAACTTTGATAAACGTCAATAGTTGCAGAGGGGCTTCAGGCCTTTTGTTCACAGGGTCGCTATGAGTTGTGCTCTACTCAAAGGCAATCAACAAATTGTGTGAAAGACTGCTCATTCTTCTCCCACTGAACAGTGAGGCATTTGAAACGTGACTTTGGTTGGCAACACAACTCCTACAACTAAGCTACTAGAGCTCTCTCTTTAGAATTAGAAATTAATTTTATTATATTTTATTGCCTTTTAAGTAATCTAGTTTCCAAATATTTTCTTTACATGAAAATTTAAATTCAAGGTGCATTCTGGAGTGTCTAAAAGGTCAAGGAGTTCTGGCAGCCTAGTGTCAAGAAGTCGCACTGCAATCCCAGAGGTACATGGTTTGAATTTGCCAGATGCTCTGCTAGAGATGGAGGGGCAATTTCCTCCTGTACCAGTCAGATCCAATTTGACGGTACACACACACACCCCTGGCAATCAATCAATCAAGTAACTGGTCATGCGCATATCTCTGAGGAATTATTTTTTAAGAGGATATAGCTGCCACATTCTATGAGTATTATGAAGTGTTAGTGAGTGATAATTATTCTGACAGATGTTATAAAAATGAACATTAAAAAATTATAGCTGCTTATTTTGAAAATGCTCTGAACTTGAAGATACTGTGATAGACAATATCAAACTATAGTACTCTATGCTACAAAGTATCTTTAGCAAAGTTAATTCTGGTCTATCATTAAATTTATTAAACAATATACACTTATACAAGTGGTGCTATTTTTCCTGTTAACACGTTGACGCATGTAACAGTAATACATTGGGGGGGAAAAGTGTTTCTAAGCATGGTCGTCAATTTAAAAGTGTGAGGCAATGTGTTAATACTTTTATTATGATTAGGTCTTGACAGTTTCTTGTATTCAAGGATTGCAATCTTTATAGTTTACATGTAACCTATTTCTATTTTTTCTCATTAGATAATAGTTTTACTAGAAATTAGGAATAATTTTTTCCTTTGTGTATCTCATAACACTTCAGTATAATTTACACATATAGAAGTGATCTTAATGCACACTCATGTTTATTGCAGCTTTGTTCATAATAGCAGAGTTGGAAACAATCTAAGTACCCATCAACAAACAAATGGATAGAGAAGCCGTGGTATACTCACACAACAGAGTACTATGCTGCATTGAAAAACAAGGAATTCATGAAATATTATACAAAAAATGGGTGACTCTGGAGTACATTATGGTGAGTGAAATATCTCAGTCACAAAAGGATAAATACTGCATAATGCTGTTCTTGTAAAATGGGACTGACATAGGGTTTGGGGGGAACCTAAGAAAAGAGGGGATAAATAATGTACATAGCATTGAAATAGACAAGGGAGAGAACTACATAAAAACAATGTATGCTTAGGTATTATTGTCATGACAGGAGTCCAGAATGAAGGCTGCATAGTGGAGTGGACTTGGGGGGAAGGATTGTGTAACAATGAAAGAATTTTTCTTTTACTTTTCAAAGAGAAGAGTGAAGGGGGGAGGGGTGGGCAGGGAGGAAAGTGCAACAGTGAATGAATGGAAATCCAAAGTCTCTGCAAACTTTCATTAAAATTAATAAAAAAAAATTTAAAAAGAAGTGGTCTTGAATATTTATTAAGCACCACCAAGATGGTTGTTGGGGATGAAAAGGTGAAAAAGAATACAGGTCTTGTCTCCATCTATTATATGATAGTTGCTAAAACAGCAACAGATCTTAGTTCCAAAAGGTGAACATGGAAAAGAGTCTATGTAAGAGAAAGAGCACTGTCCTGGTGACAGAGTGTCTTAGGTGTTGGGCTGTTAACTAAAAAGTGAGTAGTTCTAAACCATCACCTACATTATGGGAGAAAGATGAGGCAGCCTCCTCTCATGAATATGTACAACTTGAATAACTCAATGTAAAGTCACCATGAGTTGGAGATGACATGATAGTAGGTTTTCACAGAAAAAGCATTACTGAAGATGTTGTGTACTGTCAAGCTAGAGCCAACTCTAGCAGGTTTTCCAAGGCTGTAAATCTCAGAAGAGGAGACTGCCCATCTTTCCTCCTGAGGGGCAGTTGGTAGATTTGAATCACATGCCTTTGGGAGGGGAGCATAGCTCCTCACCACTAGGCCTCCAGCTCTTACTGAAGACAGAGCATGAAAAATAAATAGGCATTTCAAATAGTAAGAAAATGCTGTAAAACAAGTAGCTCAAATCACAACATGTGCACTCTACTGTGTATTTGCCATATTTCATTGAACAGATTTAGGGATAATTGTTATACATTCATTACCATTCTTAAAGGCTGTATATTATAGTTACTATGTAGTCACTGAAATTGATTGCTTTGAGGAGACATTCAGGTTGCTTCCAATTACTTCCTATTACAGATATTTAATTATAAACATGGGTGTGTGCATCTTTTCTCCATACTTACTGTGTTTGCTGAGAAGTAATTTGAGAAGTTGGACTATATGAAGAATAGAGAGGAGATTTGAAGCAAGTACTATAAAGATCAAACACTACAGCCTTCAACACGGGTTATGCTTCAACATCAAGAAAAGAAAAATCCTCACAACAGGACCAATAGGCAGTATCACGACAGATGGAGAAAACACTGAAGTTGTCAACAATTTAATTTTACTCAAATCTACAATCAACTCCCATGGTAGCATCAGTCAAAAAATTAAAAGACATGCTGCCTGAGAGAAATCTGCTCTCAAAGACCTCTCTGAAGTGTTAAAGACTGAGATGTCAGTTTAAAGACTAAGCTGCACTTGATCCAAACCATGGTCTTTCCAACTGCTTCTCAAGTACCTGAAAATTGGACAATTTGAATAAGGATGGCAGAGAAGAATTAACGCTTTTGAACTGTGGTGCTGGCAGAGTACTGAATATACTACGTGTGGGAAGCCATCCTCAACGGGTCTTGGCTCTGGCATGAGCAACTCCAATCTGTCTGTGGACTACTTTTCATACACTCGTGCCTGACTCAGTCTAGGCCACCCCACCCACTCCTGGAAAAACGCTTGCCTCATTGGCTCAGTTCCTGTCATTCAATGCTTTAGGGCCTGTTCCTCATTCCTGCTGCGGACTGATAACCTAAGGCTGGGTTTCTATGTAAGACAGCTGCTTGGTTTTC